GCGTCATATAAGTTACTGATCTTAGGCCTATCTGACCACTAAGAATATTTAGCCAGTGTTGGCTAAGATTGTCTTGTCAGTATAAAATTGCAACATTGTGCCAATACTTGAAATCCATATCTGACCAATCTCGGAAGTAAGTATCGTGCCGAGCTTAAGGAGCCAGCGTTGGCTCGATCTAATCATTAATATATTCGCCCAGTACTGGCTACCACTGTCGTACCAATATCGAGCCTCGTTTGCCGATATTGACCCAATACTGGGCCGTTCGTCAATTCCTACAAGGGTATTGTTGCACCACACACGGCAGATAGTTGCTTTAAGAATCTAGACGTTGAAATTAATCGCACGCGCAATTGAACGAACTATTTATTTTTGTGGCAGCTCGTGACGTCAACTTTAATTGAAGCAACTCCATTTTTTTTCTGTGCGTCTGTCAAAAAACTAGAGGAGCGAAAAAAAATTTAGTTCAATCGTCTCGTCCGCGATTATATCGAGAAAAAACACAAAATTTATACGGCGATATCAGTTAAAATTATTGTCGTTGTTAATTTGATGCCGCGATGCTTAATTCGCGGCCGTCGCTTTCCGGCTCGCAAACGAGCGCGCAAAACGACGTCATATAAAACGTCTCCGGGGAGGGCAAAGCGAAAACGTCAAAATTACTGCCTGCTGCGTTTGCTCTCTGACGTGAAACGCAATCTCTCCGTCGTACCGTAAAACGATCCTCCGTTAGAAGCTCATCAGTACTTTCGCTCGGAGCGAAATTTACTTCAAATATGCGCGGAATTAATTCTCTCCCGGGTGATCTCCTCCCCCTCCCGCCCCTCCCCGCGTTGTGAACGTCGACAAGAACGAGACGCGCCTAATCGGCATCGGAGGTAATTGAAATTCACCGAAGGAAACACGCTATTAATTATCGCGCAAAGCTGTTTTGTTCCGATCAACTCGCGGGGGGGGGAGGGGGGGGAAAACGCTTCTGTCGCAATTAATTCGCACGCTGCGATGCAGAAGAGGACGACGCGCGTTGACGTTTGCTGACGATCGGTTTTGGTAATATCGAACACCGCCGTTACGGTATCCGGTCCTTGTTCTCTCTCGTCGGTGCCTAATTAGCAACTCGTTGATTGGCTGCGAGGATATGGGTGCGTCGTCGTTTAGCGAGCGTTTAATTTATTGTTTTGCCGCGGAGAGCCGCCATCTCTCGGGGATGCGACCTCGACCTTACGTTCGTTTTTCCCCTCCCCCCCTCTGTGCTTTTCCCCACGTGTGTGACTTATACAGCGGCGATCTTTCATCGCCTTAAATGACGTGCGCTCCCATCGAGGGGGATCGGGAACGTATAACGAAAGTATATCGATCATCTCCTCAATCATATCTTCGAGACAACTTCTCTCCTCGTTTCGAGAGACTCTTCTTCATTCGGTGCCTCGATATCTCTCTAACAGTCGCGCGAAAAAGAGACGTTCTGAAGTTCTTTTTGCGATTAAACCTCCTCCCTTCCTCTCTCTCTCTCTCTCGTCGTTTTATCGATCGCGTCTTAATGACAAGAGCCCCGTTGGCGCGGGGCTCTCCCCGAGTGAAAGCCTCTCTGTCGGCCGCGTTCGATTGCGACGGAGATAAAAGCCGCGACGCCGGCGCGGCTCCCCGTTTTGTATCCTCGCAACACAGCACGAAAGTGTGTGACCTCGACCTTACCTCCATACCTACTTAAAGTCTAGGTCAGGATTTCCACATCGCGTCCTCTTCTTCTCTTCCGACTGTGTGGAACAGTCGAGTCGCGCGCGCGCGCGCGATTCTCGGCGCAGCTTCATTATAGCCCGAGAGAGGAAACCATCTCGCCGGTCGTTCCACGCGCGAACCACGAGAACACAATCTTCTAATGGCTTATTACGCGAGCTCCGTGATTAATCATCCGTTTCTCTCCCGGGTATAAGAAGAGAGAACCACACCGTCAGCTTTCCCATCCGTGTACGATTTCTCGAACGACCTGTCGCTTCTGCATTTCTAACAAGCAATCTCTGGGGAGGGAAGGGGGAGAATATAACATTGCGGGGAACATCGCGTTGTGACGGCGCGCCTACATATATATATATATACCGTTCCGTAATTGGAACTGTTGCTGGTAGTCGTTGAAATTTTCGTCCTCGGGCGCGCGAGGTCGTTGAATTACATCGATTCGAAAGTTCATTTTAACGTCGTCGTTAAATTATTTGTTTGTTTGGCACGCAACAACAACCCCTGCGCGAGACCGCGGATCGCGAACGAACATCAAAGCGATGTTAAAAAAAAAAAAAAAAAAATGAGAAGATTCTCCGAGGGAAAAAGATGCAAATTTTCTCCGCAGATACGCGGACTTTTAAATTGCAAATTGTAACGAGGATTTTTTTTTTTTTTTTTTTAAATCGCTGTGATTTGAATTCGCGCTATCGCGTGATGCGCGGATTTGAATAAATTCAAAACGTACGCGAAGCGGTGAAAGGCGATTCCCCAGATCGGGGAAATTCGCGCGCGAAAAACACGAGGATGGAAAAATAAAATCTCTGAACGCGTTGCCGCACGCTGCGAAATATAATTCACTCTCTCGCCGTGTCCTTTGAACGTTGATCCCCGTCAAAGCGAGCGAATTTGCGAAAAAGAGAGAGAGAGAGAGAAACGGAAGCGAATATCGCCGTGCGAAAAACTTGCCGGAATTTTTGATGAAAATCGCGCATTTGTTTTTGACGAAAATGCGCGATTCGCATACTTTGAGTGTTGTGCGCTCGAAGTTATTTATTTATTTATTTATTTATTCAAAATAACTAATGATGGCATCTTTTAAAAGATGATCGATTGATTGATTGATTTCGCTTTATTTGTATTGCGCTCTGGGAATAATTCCCCTCAAAGCGCTAAGTACAATTAAAATTTTATAAACAGAAAACATACACGGAAAAAAAAGATTTGCTAAAATAGCAAGAAATTAGTTACTATATGGCCAGCAAAAAAACATTTGTTAAGTTTAGTAAAATTTTTGTTTTGCCAACAAAATATTTTGTTGATGAAACAAAAAATTTCGTAGGATCAACCATTTTTTTTTTGCTGACTATATAATAGCAAAACTTTTTTTTCCGTGTAGTAAAAGAAAAATACGTAATTATATAATATAATACATAGATAAAAAGAAAAAAGAAAAAATAATTAAAATTAACAGAGGTTGACAAGTATCCGAAAAAAGTCAATTTTTACAAAAAAGTAAAGGTTTAATAAAAACAAAAAATCAATTAATTATAACAAAATAACAGAAACAAGTAGAATAATAAAAGATGGTGACACCATCAAACGTGCGTTTGAATTTTTTTTTTTTTTTGAAATAACGCGAAGAAAAATAAAATACAGAACATTTTCTTAGATTAAATAAATACGCGCAACGAGAGAGTTTGTTGAACACGGGAAAACGTATGCAAAATAAGATGTCACACTGGTTTGACGATCGCGGCAATTTGCATCTGTCTTTCGCGGCCGTTGCTATCTTCGCGTGTCTTCTTGTTCGAAGTCAAGTGACATCATACACGCGTGATACGCATGTCTTCGGGCGTAAATACCGTAACGTTTTCGCGAATATATCTCCTCCCGCCTTTCACCTCGTCTCGTCTCGTTTCATATAAAAAGCGCCTGCTGTACGATCTTTTATGCATGAAGAATGGCGAACTTTTGTTTTGGTTTATCTCTTTCGCGCGCGTATACGACACGAATGTCAATTTTAAGAAAAAAACAAGAACGAAAGGTCGAACGAAATTAAACGCGCGTTTAATGATTCTCGCAATATGACGATCAGAGATAATACGAGTATCTTTTCGATTAATATCTCTCTCCCTCTCTCTCTTCTCTTTTCTTTTCTTAATTAAATATTTTCTTTTTCTTTGATATTTTCTTTTGTATTTTATTTTATTTTATTTTATTTATATATTTTATATTTATGAATTTTTATGTTATTTTTGTTTGTTTATATAATATTTGTATCATTTTACTTTAGTTGCGCTTTAGGGGACTTGTCCCGGAAGCGCTGGGATAAATAACGCTTTCTCTCTCTCTCTCTCTCTCTCTCACTCGATAATTGAGTTAATTAGACATTAGTATTAATTAATCGACGTGTGATCTGATCGACATAGCGCGTTATCTCAATTAACACATCACAGTTCATCAACGTGAAATTAATTGATATTTGTGAAGACCGTTAGGAGGATTTGAAGAGAACAATTTTCATCTCGCGAACAATTTACAGAAGACGTTACTAATTGGATTGCGTGCGAGGAATTGTACGCGTGAAATCACGTGTGTTCCGTGAAGCGCGCAATAAAAATGGAGAAGGTAATAGCGATAACGAATGTTATCGAAACTCGCAACCGAGTTTCGAAAATTGCGGCGAGATCGATATCGTTCGTGCAAATCGAACGTTTATTCTCATGCGGACGATACACTTGTTTGACATTCGCGAGAGTACGGGGGAAATCCACGCTCACACACTGGGTCTCCGGGTCGGCAAAAGTAAGTCAAGCATCGACGGATGAATCGACCACAATAACGGTGTCCGAAGCCTGACCCGAGAGAGAGAAAGAGAGAGAGAGAGAGACGCGGCGACCATCGTCGTCAAAAGAGGCAATCGTCTGACTTACTGTCTACCAGATGCTTAATGGGCAAGTACGTACGTTGACTGTGCGAGGTTTTAAGGTAAGGTTTTTGCTGTCCGTTTTCAGACACGAGGCGGCACTGAGAAAAAACACTGCAATGTCAACCAAAAATGTTTATTTCTCGGTCAGTTACTTGAAATATTTTTTTTTTTTTTTACTTTGAACCTACAGGAGTTAAAATAACAGAATATTTTTTTAAGAACAAAAAAACAGCCGTAATATAATTCGAAATGGTAAAATAGACCTTCCAGCTAATTTGTTAATACTAATTTTGTTAATTTTTGTAATTTTTTTGTAATTTTTTTGTTCCGTCCAGTGAGGCTGATGATGATCAGAAAAAATAAAGATCGAAACGTTCCTCTGATCTCCGTATTGGATTCAATTAGAGATTTTATTTAAGCCACCTCAACCTTGGTTTCTCAGCTGGAAGGTCTATTTTACCATTTCGAATATTTTTTTATACGCCTGGCCGACGACTGCGGCGAGTAGTTGACTCGAATCAAATTTTCTTTTGATTTGAGTCGAATTTGAACGGAGATCCACGGATTTGTGTAAACGTTTCTCTTAGAAGTGCTCGAGTTAATTTTGGTCTGGAACAAAATCATCTCCGAAACGAACAGTATAAATTCGCAACGATCCAATCGCGCTGCAAGATTAATTGAGAAACGCACGCGCGCGCGAGAGTTGTTTTTTTTCTTTTTTAATTGCACGTTTGTTATAACCTGCCGTAAAGTAGAATTTTATTGAAATAAAGTTCCAGTTATACTTGCATCGGGACTAATCGAAAGAAAGCTCGTAATTTTCCAATTTGTCATTCTTTATACAGAGAGAGAGAGAGAGAGAAAGAGAGAGAAAGAGAGAGAGAGAGATTAAAGCAAAACGTTAATGGAACGGAAACTGCAAACGAGATGGAATATTTTCTCTCTCGGAGGGGTATATTGACGTGCTTACCGATACGCGGTGTGCTTGGGCTTACCGATGATTGATCCGAAGTACGAGGAAACAAGTCGAACAGGTTATCCTGTTAACGGCTGACTCGATATAATAACGCGTCCGATTATTTATAACGAACCTCCACCTCCTCCTCCTCCTCTTTGAAATTATATCCTCACAGCGCAGAACAATTTAATTATATCATTACGGAGAGATGGCTAATGAATCATTGAAATAGATTGAGCCGGCTGTGCCATTATATCCTTCTCTTGCTCCTTTTGACTCCCGTTTCTCTCTCTCTCTCTCTCTTTCTCTCTTCGTTCGATCGTCGGGCGAGCGTTAAATATTGCAACAAACGTTGTGCACACACCGGTAGTCCCGAAAAAGGATACGTACCGGGAACTCGCGGAAACCGATCGCAAATCATATGTCACGCGATAATAAAAATTTGATTCGATTATATTGATCACAAAACTTAAACGCGATCGCTTTTCAACGATCAAATGTATTGTAAACTAATAAATATATATTCGGTCATGAGAGCCGTTCGCTAGGAAATTATACGTGTGTGCGGAAATTATACGTGTATATATATATACATATAAACGTGTTCACGTGTAAATTTTTTTTAACACGTGAAATTCGAATTGTAATAACAATTTTAAAATTCATATAGGATGCTATACTTGCATCTCGTATATGAGAGATCCCAAATACCCCCCTAATTGAAATTAAATTTTACACGTGAACACGTATATATATGTACACCGAAAAAATTATATTCTTGTAAGTAGAAGATTTTACACTTAACAAATCTTCTTCAAGATTTTAGATGATATTCTTCTGAAATTAAAAATATATTCTTTATTTATATAAGAATATATTCTTTATTTAAGAATATATTCTTAATTTAAGAATATAGTCTTTTTCGATAGTGAGATATATATATATATGTTTTTCTATAGAGGCTTTTTATATTCTAATCAGTATATATTCTTATCAATATTACTATTTAGAGGATTTTCCTCTTAAAATAAGAAACTCTTCTTGGCGCCTATTTTAGTATAAAATATACTTAAAGTAAGTGGGATATCCTCAAAACAAGAATACAATTTTTTCGGTGTATATATATACACGTATAATTTCCGCACAACACCTAGCGAACGGCTCTCATGACCGAATATATATTTATTAGTTTGGAAACTTCGGAGCCTTAAAAAGATTCTTCAAATGTTTTAACTTTGATTAAAAATAAAATATCCTCTCTTCTGTTCCTGAAAATAGCAATATTCAGAAGTTGCAAAGTTTTTCAATTAATTCGTACGCGACTGTGTTTTTGTTACACCGCTCTATATTTATTATTATAGTTGGAAGTATTTTTCGTTGCATTGTTGCAACGTTACGAATGATGAATGATTCGTGAAAACGCTGATCCGATTGAAAAGAATTGCCGCTACAATGCTCGACGCGGTCTATTAAACAGTCAAGAAGATTTATCGAGAAAATTGTGTTGCACATGCATCTCTCTCTCTCTTTCTCTCTCTCTCTTTCGAGAAGATGATCGGTGAAAGTACAAGAAGTCGGAATGACCTACAAACGGAAAACTAATATTCAATCTCCGCGAGAGAAGCTTCTCCGCTCAATTCTGCTGTACATAGAACGACACTTTTCTACGAATTAATTAATCGGAAATAAAAAAATAACAATGTGATCATAAAAATTATTGAAAAACTTGAAAGAAGCGAAGAAGACAAGAATCTTCAAGAAGGCAAACACACACACGCCGGATGTCAGACGTTTCGAAACGCGTTATCCGTAAGCGAGAAAAAGAAAAAGAGAGAGAAGCTAATGCAAATAAAAAAAAAAAAAAAATCGACAATGTACGGGAAAACGAGCGAGCGAGCGCGATGTATCCCCGACGCATTTAATGAATAATTTACATTTTCTCTGGCCTGGTCGTGTACAAATAGCGCCGACACGAGCGGAGAACCGTTTTCGATAGCATCTCTCGAGAGAGTGCGTGCTCTCGAACCTCCTATGGATGGCACATAAAGTAAACGCCTTCCTACTTAGCATTATATTTGCGAGTTGTTCGCGGGAACGTTCGCTTAACAGTCCGCAAAAGCTCGATTCCCTGTGTACAAGAGTCGCGGGGATTACGGACTTCGAGCCATTACCGGGCGACGTGTATCGCTCAGAGGATTATCGGAAACGTTCAAACAACACGTGTACGTGCGCATATATATATACAGGGTGTCCCAGAATAGCCGTACAATCTCTCGTAGGCAGATAGAAGGAATAAAACTGAGTCAAAAAGTCCTGAACCATTTTTTTCTATTATTTATAATAAAGGAGTAATTATTGAGTAAATCAGGCCAATCAGCGCCGATCTTTAGCCA